CAGGCAGGATACTAAGCTATTGAACAATATTTACAAAAACATCTAACTACCATCCTTTACCCGTTGTCGACGCATTTGCAATATATAAATATAATACGGTTATAACGCAAAAAATCTATATAATATATAGCGATAGCTTTTTACGACAATTTTAGTGTAACGGTTTTAGATTTTTACAAACATGTCGCCCATATCATATGTATATATATATAGGGGCTCGATTCTTCGATTAGGCGCTCTCCATCCATTTTCACCGTGACTCTTTTACCTTTATGATGACGTTGTTTTGAATATGGGCATAGTTATTTTACCACACGATCATGTTATTTAATCTATTTATACCTTAATCGAAATAAAAATTGACAATAAAACGTTCACCTTTTGTAATTTCTGTTGTTTAAGCTGTATATTCAAATTTGTAATAATTTTCCAATGCTTCGATTGTGTAATAAAATGACAGCTGGAAATATAAAATACCTTTAGTGTATCACAATGCAAATTAAACTATAATACTCTATGCAAAAATAGACTATGACTTTGATCACAAACTGGAGGCAATAGGTAGGTTAAGCTACACGTTTTAGGACACCAACGTGTACGTAAACGTGTATTATTTTGACCCTTGAGATTACTGCGAGAAACGCGAAGCTTAACTTTTCTAATATCAATTATTAATCGACGCTGGTTTTACAAGTACAAGGTGCTCAATTGTTGAAAAAATCATTAATCACATTGACATTTCACGACGACCTAGGAATAGTTTATCAATGGTCTGAATCCGAGACCACTTTATGTTTTATTAATAATGAAATATATTGCATAATATTTTACACGTTTATACATATAAGTTCGTACAAATGGAATGTTTAGAAAATCTTTTGAAGCAAAATAATTCTAACCATTTCACTTACGGCAATACTTTTTGTGGCGTTGATATGTATCAACGTCTATTGATATTGCAAGGCGCAGTGTACTCATTTTCAGACCGTAATGATAACGATTAGCAAAATGGATTATTTCTAGAGAAGTGCATTGGGCCATGTTATGGACCATCAATACCATGCGATGATCCCAGATTGGGTCATGTAATGGACCATCAATACAATGCGATGATCCCACCGTGTCTGCTCAATCAAATTAAATTTCATTGACAATTTTCTGACATATGACAACGACTCGATTATTATGTCACACCTTTTTAAAAACAACCAGTGTGGACTGACAGAACGCTATGATCTCCAACGATGACGTAGAATTAATTCAGATCGCCATCAAGGTAAGAATAAACGTGTCATGCTAAACTCCCTAGCAACCGAAATGATTGATTGGTAATTATGAATCGGATGGAACCATTGGAACTGGTATCAAAACACGAGGGTTCTTGATACAGACACAATACACCGTTCCTAACCAAAAGAGACGCTAAAACTATCGGCAAACTCCTAGCACGCTGTATACTTCCACAGTCATATGCAATATTCATAGCTGTGTCACTGGTTAATTTTACGCAAAGAGGATGATGGGATAATACCTACTTCATTATATGTAAGCGTTCATATCAATCACTATTAGCATTAGTTGGAGTGTAAGATAGTAGATGGGTTAACTACATTTGGACTTCATTGTATGATGCAAATGTCCCATTTGGCATGGAAGTACCTTAGGACAATAGAAATAAATTTATCCAAAGACACAAGCTAGATGGCGCTTTATATTGGAAATATACACATTTTTCAAAATGGCCGCCAAAAATTCATCAGAGACAATATCTTTGATTCTGTGCATGCTACAATTACAAGATTGGTGTCAAAAAATACAGCGATGTAGTTGTAGAATCTATTTTATTAGATCTTGAGTCTTGAAAATTAAGAACTTCCACTTTATATTCAAAATACACGCGTTTTTCAAAATAACTGCCAGAAATATAACAAAGAAGATACCTTGAATTACGATTACTTACAGATTAAGATAACTTTCCTTACAAAATGTCCCATTTGGCATGGACATACCTTAGGTCAATAGAAACAAATTAATCCAAAGACACAAGCTAGATGGCGCTTTATATTTGAAATATACACATTTTTCAAAATGGCCGCCAAAATACATCGGAGAAAATAGTTTTGCTTCTGTGCATGCTCCAATTATAAGAGTGGTGTAAACAATACATTAATGTCGTTGTAGAATCTATTTAATTAGGATTCGAGTCTTGTAAATTCAGCACTTGCACTTTATATTCAAAATATATGCATTTTTCAAAATGGCTGCCAGAAATATAACAAAGAAGATATCTTCGCTTCTAAGCAAGCTACAATGATAAGAGTGGTGTCAAAGTATACATAATATTGGGTTGTAGAATCCATTCATAATAAGAACTTTCACTTTATAGGAAATTATGCGTTTTTAAAAATGGCCACCAGAAATATAACAATGATGATATCTTCACATAAGTGCATGCTACAATGATACGATTGGTGTCAAAATTTTGTATTTATGGGGTTGGAGAATCAATTTTATTAAGTCTTGTGAGATTATAGTTTTCACTTTATATTGGAAATGTATGCAGCTGAAAATATAACAAAGATTGTATCTTTGCTAACAAAGATTGTACCTTTGCTAACAAAAATTGTATCTTTGCTAACAACATTGTATCTTTGCTAAAAGTTTCTTTACTTCTGGGCATACTATTTCATAAAATTGGCTTCAAAATCTACATTTTGGGGAATGTAAAATCTATTTAATTACGCAGATGCAAGTAGGTAGTTACCATTTTCCCCGCCAGGATGTTATTTCGGGTGAAATAACATTGCAGGGTATTACAAAGTTCCCTTAAACTTGAATATTCTTAATTTTTAGTGGTTCACATTTCATATTACTCTTTTGTATCTGATAGTTGTACAAATTAACATATCTCCAGTTAAAGAAAATATTAACTGCACAACACAAGAAAAGATATTTCACTTTTTGTATTTTACAACATGGGGACTATGGGGAATCTCCCTGACCTAAATGTCACATTTTCGAAGAAAATTCAATTTTAAAGTTGATGGACTCGCTCATTTCAAAACCACATTTCTTGATGTATTTTTATGACGATTCCAAATTCAACATCAGTTAGACTGAATCTTGAATTTTTAATGACAAAAATAAAGATTGTTACTACTCGCATCTAGCAAATTTGATTATGAGCCTTAAAAATAATCGTTTTCGCCTTAACACAGCAAATGTCTATTTATCTTTCAATGTTCTTTTTACTCAAATTCACCAGAAAGACCAGTGTCTCTTTAATAACTTGCAATAAACATGCATCTGCAATGGTAGTGCAACTTTAGTTATTGCAATGCAACATACATAAGAGAGAAATGTGATAGATAGAAACCACGCAGGACAGACATACAGTGTACATATGTACCTATAATTAGAAAGGGCCAGAAACCTTCTGGCGAGAGAAAATCTTGAAGATCGGAATAGATTTCAAGGGCTGCATATTATGACAGTATTGCAGAACCCTCTTCATCTCCTCTGACCAAATCATGGACGATGTCTCTGTTTACCGAGTCTTCCACTAATCCAACCAACAAACTATTAAGCTTGTTGTTGATTGGCAACCGTTTTGAAAAAGACATGTATGTACACACATACAGCACTGAATATTGTCATATTGAGAAAAATATTCTTATTTTCTCATTTGAACATTTAAGAGATTAAAATTTTAAGATTTTAAACGGCAATATGTCTTTCACCATGAGTACTTCCTGGCCATAAATACAATGTTTATTATTAAAACAATGTGTTTTATTCCAAGTGAAGTCCCCATGATTGTAAAACATGAATCCAACTTTCTGGAAAATTATGGATTAGGATCCCACCTTGGCACTTTTTTAAATGTTGAGCTTATTTTGTAAAAAATGATCTTGTTTCTCTCAATTAAAACATATCAAAAGTTGCCTCACTTTATATCAACAATAACTTAAAAGGGGACGGTATTTGAAATGCGCTGAAGTTGAAAACCACATCTCCCATGCTATCCATTGTTTTCAGCATAGTTTCATCATCGCAAATTGATATTCAAAACTACACTTTCAAACCATTCTACTTTTGAAGAAGTTTAAGAGCCCTTGTTAGATATAATTTTTTGTAATATTTTCCACAGCCATTGAAAAAATACATACATTTTCAATAAAATGTGAAAATGTTAGATAACTAATAGACATGCAGTACAATATCAAAATTTCCGCTGATTTAAACATTTTGGTGACCATTTAGTCAATGCTAAAAATTATATTTAGACAATAAAAAATTGAGATCTAACTTAATATAATGTAACCATACCTTGACGACATATCTAGTAAGTAATATCTAATCAACTCCTTCTCTGGGACATTTTGAATTTTCTGAGGCATTAATCATAAAACTAACACCATCTTCAATTTAATTGAGTACATACGAATGGCCATACTTTGAAGGAATCTGACAATAATTGCAAAATCATACACAAGACAGACGATGAACTGACAGACTGACAGACGGAGAGCTTCACTATATCCCTACTGAACTTTCTTCATTGGGAAAAATGAATTCTACCACCTATTAATGTATACTTGGACATCAATCTTACTATTGTAACATGCATACAAGTGAAGATAGCATCTCTGTTACATCTCTGGCAGCCATTTTGAAAAAGGCATAATTTTTTTATATAAAGAGGAAGTTCCTAATTTTCAAGACTCAAACCCATACTTAATTGATTCTTCACCCACAAAATGTATATTTAGGCACCAATCGTATCATTATAGTATGTATAGGAGAAAATATATTGTCTCCGTTGTATTTTTGGCGGCCATTTTGAAAAACGTGAATATTTCCAATATAAAGCGCCATCTGGCGTGTGTCTTTGGAAAAATTTGTTTCTATGGTCCTAAGGTACTCTCATGTCAAAGGAAACGTTTGCATCATAGATTGAAGTCCAGACCCCCTAAAATGCAGTTAACCCATCTACTAAGAGGTAATTTTCATCTTGGAAGCCGTTTTATCAATTAAGGTAAGTAGGTATATGATACATTTGGCTAATGAGTATACTTTTTAGTAATGTGTATAAAGTACGTGTTGCGTCGCATATATGACATGTTTGTGATATGCAATGCAAAACAAGGTTGACTTCCAGCCGTTAATTTTTTCTAGCGTTTACATCTTGATAACTGTTTAGCAAAATTACACAAAATGGACGGTAAAACACTCATTTTTGACGATTTTAGGGCGATTCTCACACTTTAAGAAACAAATAATAGAGTACACTTCACGCATTGATGTTTATCTGCATATGTTACGTTTAAAATATGAATAGCGTCGCATATATGACATATTTGTGAACTGCAATGCAGAAGTAGGATGCATGACAAACTTTGAGAAACAAATTCTTGAATATAAAAAAAAAAAAATATATATATATATATATATATTCTACGTCATGATATTAATATTTGCCTCATGAATTGCCTTATAAAATATGGGAAAACAAAATAGTTCATCAATACACCTAACGTGCTCGTGTCCGCGCCTGTGTAATTTAGAAATAGGTCAATATTTTAGATAAAAATGCATAATTGAAAATCAGCCTTGGTGTTTTGGAGAGCCTGGGAAATCCAGATGAGCAAGATTTCTTTCTTTTTGTTTTCGATTAAACATTAATACGAAGTGTCACGTAATTCCACACACGGTTGGGAAAATTCATAGTCCAGCGTTCTTAGAAGTTTATTTCGTGAGTCTATAGGTGAAGCCACTTTTGATTAAATAATTAAAATACTTACATATGTTTTGGCACGCCATATAACCCCCCCCCCCCCCAGAAAGAAAAACTAATAAGAAACCATCAAAAGTATCATCAAAACTGATCATGTTAAATAAAGTCTCTGCAAAATCTAACTTTTTCGACGAGAGCGTAAAATCTGCCCTCTTCCAGAGACAGTCTTTGAATGATAGAGAGTCATAGAGAGTAATCGAGACCACAATTTGACAGATCAATGATACTGGGTAGCATAAAAGGTATAAAGGCCAAGAGAGCAATACACATAGAATTCCATTAGGGTATACCTAATACAAATATTTCTGGAACAAAGCAACTGGACGGCTTATATAATTTATAATAAGTGATTCCACAGCGATTTTGCACTAAATGACAAACGTGGTAAACTGAACTCAAATGCAACAATCACTTATCAGAGAGAGTACAAGTGATTGATTAATTAGTATGCCACCTTTCAAGAGTTATATATTTAGAGGTTATGTCACTATCGTGGCATATATGCCCGAGGTCTCGGTGATATATGGCCCAACCTTGGGAGGGACATTGATCTCTGAGAACCGATGGCATATGTGCCACGATAGTGACATAAACGATTTATAACATACCTATGATGATGTAGACTGGTCAGAGAGTACCGTTTTCTTATAGAATTGACAAACAAATGTTTTGAAAATTATTGAAATGAGTTTAGAAAAATTGCTCGCGCAGTTTTATCTTCGATTGATTGGTTATGACGTCAGCGCCTTGGCCAATCAGAAAGTTAGCGGGCGCGGGGTTTTCAAAACGTATATTGGCCCGCTGTCTTGTGTACACTTTGCACTATACATCATCATAGGTATGTTATAAAAACTAGTATAGGTCGTTCAACAAATAAAGCTAATTTTGCTCTTATATGTTTATCCTTTATCATCCACCGTCAACTTTTCACAGATTTGTCAAAATTTTCTGAAAAAGTATAAAGTAGCGGAATGGTGGTTGCCATAGCAACTCGAAAACGGGTTCAGTTTTCAGGTCAAGGTTTACACACGTTGGAAATGAGGTGATACACTAAAAAACTTGATACTCTAAAAAGCAAGAGACATTGAATTGTGTGGATGAATTTATTAAAATTGGAACGGGGTGTGCCACCAGTGAGATGTTTTTCGTCTGGAAAAATCAACAGTCTGTCATTTTCCATATTTCAAAAACACTAGAATATAAAATGATTAAATGATTAATTTCGTTATTTCGCTGGTTTCCTTTTCCGCTGGTAATGAAACTGTCACTGCAAAACAATGAGATCCATGAAGTTGCGTTTTATATTTCATTTCATTATATATTTATTCAATTCAAAGGTATACAGTAATTACAGTAGTTGCTGCCTAGCGCACTTTGCATTATAGGCTAGCGCTTTATATAGTTCTGCTTGAGCAAAAGTCAATCATTTGCAGACATATCTTACGCAAGGTCGGAACACATAAACGGCCTTAGAAGTAGAATAGAGTGGGGGGGTATATACCAGGACCGATCAATGAATGATAATCTCATTTAATCCCGAAATAAGCTCAATTCATTAGTGCCTACTTTCTGTAATAAATCCACATTTTGGAAGCTTTGTTACCATGCCAACTTCTTCCGTTTGATGTTTGTAAGTTTCAATGGCGAAGGCAGAAATCGCATTACTCCTGATGAAATGATGTCGTTTCTATCAATGATCCCATTTAGTCGAGGCTGGATAATTAAATGAAGCTTTGGACATTAGTTGGAGTATTAACTAAGATTTGCGGCAAGTTTTCAGGCTAACGTTTTTATTTGATATATACTATACTATATACCCTTTATAATTGTGGTGACCGGAAATTTTCAAACCAAAACGTGTCCGTGTTAGAATTTGAATTTTACTCCGTTACGATATTGCGTTTGTTCAGTATGTGGTACAAGGTGACTTCAGTTACCAAATTAATAGAAGATACTGTACCATTGGGTTTTTTGGATTTTTAAGTCAATTGGAATGTATGAGTTTGACAACCAGAAGATCTCAATGTCATATTTCCCACCATATTTTATTCCGATCCTTTGAAATTCGATGTTCAATTTCATTAACTGCAATGATGTACCTCTAAAATTTATGGAGAATGCTCACTTTTGTTTTCTGATTTTTCTCATAAATTATAACAAACTTTGAGGATCGATGATATTCAACCTAAATAAAGAGAAATAAACCTAATAGTATAGTTTCTAAATAGCTAAATAAAGCTGAATAAAGCTGACATAATAGATGTCACCTTTGTTCATCTTGGGCCAATCTTGCATTGAGTTCTATGCTAAAAGCTTGCAATAGCCACTTAATTTCATGATTTATCAAAGAGTGATAGTTAAATCTGTCTGAAACTTGAATGGCATACTATTAAATGACCCTGTCAATGAACATATTGTGATTAAACATGAAAATGTTGGTTGTCATACGATTAAACCATGGTTTTAAAGAATTTTAGCATAGCATCAATGGAGATTTGGCCCAAGTTTTTTTTTATGTCATGGAGAATGATTTAAATGACATAAATGTGTAAATATATATATATCTTTTATTGACTCTTTAGATGTCATGACCTGACATATTAGTCAAAGAGGAAACATATCGCTGAATTCAAATATGCAATTAAAAAGAAAGAAAAGTAAGTCATTAGGGGTAGAATGTACCAACCTCTAAAAATCTCATGGAAAAAACGAGAATTAGCGAGATTTCAAAATCATTTAGAAACTCCTCTATTCCTCGATTTCAGGTTTTGTTGTTCGCGTGCGGGTTATTTTGCAAAAAAGTACCGATTTTTGTCATGTGGTCATACCAAGCAAGTCATATAGATGACGTATTTTCAAAATGGTCATGAGATAATTTATAAGCGGCAAAAATTTGACGTTATGGGAGTTAATCACTTCTTCTGCTCTGAAAACGTGTCCTACTTTATAATGTGAATAGACTACGCATGTTTTGATGCTTCTATTGCTACCCATCGCTAATATTACTTAAAATACTGCAAAACAAAAAAATCTGAGTCTAAGATGGTATTTTGTGAAACATGATTAAGTGTTCCTATAAAACTGAAATCGCAAAGCTACGAGTCGAAAAATTGCACTGTCGCAGATTAGACAAATTACCCTAAACCTATACTGTATTCAGTTTTACATTATTAATGGCTTTAAATGAAGAACAAGATCACGTCTTAAATTGATGAGAAAACACAATTCCCTGGTGCGATGTTTGTTTATCATTAAAGTACCGGCATTTCACTTGCATCTACAAATTATAAAAATATCCGGCTATTTCAATTTTCATACCATTCCAAATATGTAAAAGCCGTATGCGATATAGATCTAATATATGGATTTTCTTGCTCGTCATGGCCACTAGGGGTTATATGTCTTGTCATGGAGTATAAATGAGCCAATTAATTTGGTTTGCGCTTGCCAAAAGTATACCGTCGCTAGATCAAGCAATTACATGCCCTTAACCATTACTACCGCCGATGTTGAAGCTAAATTGTTTTTCCAAGATTTTGATATATAGAACTAAGAAAACCGTCAAGATCGTTAAATTGTGCTTTATAGTTTGGATTCTGTTTCAAACACTCAAGAATGTTTTGAATATCGAACTAATACCGGTTTATAAAATTGTAACAGGTACAGATATGAATCATAAATGTAAAAAAAATATTATTGAAAAATATATTTTCCCTCTTTTATACCGTCCACATACAAGGCCGTCAGATGCTCGCTCCAAGTATTGGTTAATGTCAAGTGATTCAAGTGAGATAAATATATTAGGACGATGTGCTGAGTACTAAAAAAGTACAAAATTAGTTCTTAATTAGCACTCTGGCAAAAGTACGCTAATGAACACTTTTGAAACGAGTGCTAATTAAGTACTAATTCATGATATGAGTACTCATTAATCAATTTATCAAAGTAGGAATGCTCATTGAGTTATCGAAAAAACAATGAAATTAGTGCTATTTTATCATATGAGTACTCATTTTGTACTAAAAATGCAATAAATCAGCACTCATGTCATTAATGCTCATTTAGTACTAATATTTGTTAAAATGAGTACTCAAGTAGCGCTAAAATGCCACGAGTTCTATTCTAGTACGTACCTGTATGTGTATCATGAGCGAAAAATAGCGTATATTAAAAACGATTTGTAAACTTACATTCAAACTAGCAAATGACTAAAGATATTAACTGAATGATGAGAATATTTT